TGATTTTAGGATGCTTCCACTTCTGGTGCAGCTCGCGGTTTTAATATGACTACTTCCGAGGTAAACACCTGGGCACCAACTGGTGGAACTGGTAGCAGGTATGATGGCACGACTTCTGTCAGTAGTTATCCTCCAGATCGTAGGAGTGGCGAGGGCGTGGGTGCGTGCTCCGTTAGAATTTGTTGAGCTTTCGAAGGGATATTGTCCTTCAGGACGGCTGTAATTGCGTTTTTGTAAAGACAGGATAACAATTAGCTCTAAGGAAGAATGTGTCCTAGGCGGTGTCAGATTGAACTGTGCAACCACTCCCTTCCCATCCCCGAGATATACGATTTTGCTTGTACTTTTTTTTAAACAGGATTGGCAAATTAAGGAAAGGTTTTAGCGCAGGACGTCCTTCGTCTGGACCGAGCAGTACTCCGTCGAGAAATAAAACCGGCTCGCCGGCACCACTACTGCCACCACCGGAGCCACCAGCTGATGTGTATGAATTGCGACGACGTCAAGAGAGAGCAAGGGAAATGGCAAGAGCTATGACGGTGAGGATTTAGAGCACTAAAAGAAGGATAGGCTTGGCTTCTGGGTCAAATACTAAGCTGACACTCAAATAACTGATAACTGATCAAAGCCGAGATCAAAGTTAATCAGTTTAGGAAACGACTGATCGTACTCAAGCCCAGTATTCACCAATTGTTATCACGAGGTTAGTCAAGTTTAGTGTTTCTTCTGCTAATTGTACAACGGTAGGAAGAAAGGTGCCCTTATGTGTTGTCTGTCTCCGCCCACGCCATCAGCGCGGAATGTGACGGGCAAAGCTGGAAGTTTAGGTCTTTCACAGAATGATTACATGCAATTCTATTTACAGTGCACCCGGTGAGACCAGAACTTCAGCAGCCTATCCCTATTTACAAGGTAATATTTTATTTCAATCTTTGGTAAACAAGTAGACAACAGCATACAAGCATTGCCGTGGTTCCTACAAAGGAAGGGCATGTAACGGGGTGTGAAAAGGAACGCAGTCAGGACGCTTTTTCATATCCAATAATGCCATCCGAGGCGCTACAGTAGGCAGGAAAGGCGGCCCTGACTGAGCTCCGAACAACGCCCCCCTCCCCCATCACATGCATTATCAACTCCGGGGATCACGACTGTACTCAACAACGAACAGCAGTCTATTCCTCAGCATCCCACTCTGTTTACCTGGGCGTAGATTTTTCGCTCTAATTGAATTTCCAGGTAGAAGCCGTGATGGTGCTGGAAGCCATATCAGCCACCTGTAGTCCCCCTATTTTCCACCTTTCGAAATGCATAACTAACTAACAACATCATCTCCGAGATAATCACTCAGATCAATCAACTCGGCCCTCACGCGCATTCGGTCTTTAACTATCACTCGTTTCCATGGCACTTGCCTTGGTTAGAATATTCGTCGTGCTCATTCGTCTTAAATCACACATCCTTGACCCACCACCAATTACGTAAAGGCAATTTTCTGTTCGTGTAAAGAAATTGATAAAGATTGTCACATTTCTGACTACGTCCTCATCTGCGTGTCTCTTATTAGCGGATATTTGGTGCATCTTTTCGCTGGTATTGTGTGTCCGAACTTCGCTCCGCATTCTCGGTGTTGACAACCAAAACAAAAAAGGCCGCAATCTCGCTATGCTGGGCGGCATTTTGGCAGCTAGTTTCCATCTGATTACTGCCAGGCCTGCTTGTGATAGACCTTATAACCTCCTACGAACTGTGAAATATCCTATAACTCGAACCCAGTCGGGCGATTAAAAAACAAGTAGTGGCGACTTCTCTGTATTTCCATTAGGAAAATGTGTACCCCTCTTTGATTTGTGCTGTATGGAAAGTCAATTTCAGTCCTGCTTCAGAGCGACTATAACAGTTTTCAGTTCTAGATGAATTTCATACCTTACTGTTATGAAACCCCACATATTTGGGCTACTCATCCCATGCTGAAAGTCTAACGGAAGCGGAAGCACTTTGGAACAGCCAGGAAAGCCTGTCAAGCGAGTATGAAACAGAGCACGTCGTATGCTGGGAGCCCCTGGCCGGGAGTCGTATTGGTCAGTCGAGGGAGGGATCGTGCATGATTCAAAAAGTGTTTCGTATGCGAGAAAATCAAGAAGAGTTTTCCCGGTTGCTCACTTTCCACGGTTTTTCCCGTTTCTCGATAGTTAAATTCGGTAGTTGCTTGGTGAAGACCTTCTCCATCCGCTAGAGGGTGAAATTCTCTGGGAAAACTGGAAAACTTCAAAATGTACAATGTTAGGAAAATTTCAGGAAGAGGAGGTCGTGACAGATGGGAAACTTTCCTCGCGAGTCGTTTTCTCGCAAATATTCTCCCTAGCGACAGGAAATGCTTACCATTAGAGTCGTAGCGCAGTCTTTTTCCTTCCTTGCCCTGTTATTGAGAAAACTAATTCTGGGTAAAGCATTAGAAGGTGAAGGTTTTCTAGGAATCAACTGTTCTCGTAGATAGCGGACCACTCTTCAGAAAAATGAGAAACAAAACAAAGGGTTGGAAAAGTTATATTAATCAACTAAATATGGTGCCCAAGCAAGAAATGAGGGGACACAAAAAATTTCTTCAAATAGGTTTTGGTATGTTTAATTTCGAAGAAGGTGGTGCAACGATCGATCTACCAATCAACACGACCCCTCCGTCTGGAATCGATCTGATGGGGTGGTGTGCCATCTCAATTATGTTTCACCTGACTGACTGCAGTACTCTCAGTACTGGTGTGTCTTTTTGTTGTATTATGCTTTCGCAGATCTTTTACAATCGTCTTTGGTCTGCATCTTCTCGAAAGCCTTGGCATTGTGCCATTCCCAGTCTCTATGATCTGTTCAATCGTTGGATTTAGAAGGGTGTGCACTTATGTGATTTTTTAAACGGAACAGAACGTTATTCCGGCAAGGTGAGGCATTTTGGTATGGGATATTCGAGACATTTGGAACCGCGACGGATATTTTTTAACGAAAAATTAGGAAAATTTGTGTGCTCCTTGTAAGCCCATCCACTTTCGGCGTAGTGCTAAACCCTCTTTTTGAACTCTGAGCACGACTCGGGACAAAATTCCCCACTACCTAGCTCAAATGTTCCTTCGCACCTCCCACCTCTGAATGCCTGTTTGACACAGAAAAATAGTAGGAGGAATAGCGTAGAAATTAAGCTCATAACAAATCATAACTTTCCAGACAATTTGTGCAGAATTGGGAGTACCGTAACGTGCACGGACTAGCACTAAAATGCTGCACCCTTCTGGAATTCCCCTCTGAACAGTCTATTCAATGGTGTTTGTCGATTCAGTGATCCACGATGCAGAAGGGATGCGAAGTTCGAATGACGCAATCTGGATCCGGTCCCAGAATCGCGTGAGTAGAAATTTATTCATTTATTTCTTTACTTATTGGATGCACGTGTAAGCACGCTTTTACAGTTATTCGGGTTCACTAAATTCAGTTAATGAGACGGATCTCCGCGATTCCAACGGTCACAGTAAGAAAAAGTGATACTTACAAGGGAGGTCGTTCCAGGTCGTGGTGAGCTTTTTAGAAACGGTTTGTTGCATGATGTAGGGGTCCATGCAATGGACCACACAGATGGGGTTCATTTTTGCTAAACGTTATTGGGGATGCCAAAAAAGGAGTGAAAAAAATTCGACAAGAAAGGGCGATTCAAACCACCTTAATCGCCTCCGTTCTAGTTCTAGCTGTAGTATAGTATGTGGGTATTCTTTGAGCAGGCATGAAAAACAGCGCAAAATAAGGTCAAAATCCAAGTACTTTACTTGGCATGTGGTGAGCTACAGGAGTTTCCTGGTCATCTCCGCATGTCTCTTCAGTGGGTCCTGCATCTCTCCGCTCGCAGTGGCCGATGGTGTGGTGGATAGCGCAACGGACTCTCAATCGATGAGTTTGTGGATCGGATCCTCTTGGAGACAGTTTTCTCGCATTTTTCAGTTTCTTCCTTCTTGTCTTCCTGTGTGCCGGATGGGTAATGTGCATGACCTGGATATACGCTATTTAAGGGCACATTCTATACGGAATGATCGCGAAGGCCTTTGATTCAGCTAAGTATGCTTGTGAGATACCTATGTGCAATGAAGCTGATAGCGCCGCTGAAACTTGGTTTATCGGCGGTTAACGATCGCCGCTGATGCAGCGAGTTCGACGCTCATTTTGAATAGGCGCAGTGTGTCGCCAATTATGGTGCAAGAGCTTTCTCGGCAACGGTAGCAGGCAATTTGTCTATCTCCGCTCGGTGCCATTCAGGCGGCCCAACTGGCCCCGAATGCCTCCGTGTCCCAAAATAAGGTTTAAAACCGTGACAGTGACCATCAAACGTTACCCATAGCGTACAAAGTTACCTTGGGAAAAGTTCTTTTCCGAGCTTCTTGGTTAATGATGGTGACGATGTTTCAGCTAGTGCATATCCGTTCCCTCCAGAACCAACTCGTATGGGAGCTTTCATTTCTAGTGCGCAGTAGCGATAGGGGGGGAGGGGGGGGGGGGGGGTTGGGGGGGGGTCGATTACAACTAAAAAATTCAAAAAAGGAGGGACACAGACAATATCGCATCACATTAACACTCGGAATGCAGAAAAATCATCCATTTCGCCCGGGAAGAGGTAACGAATACTTGTCAAAGCCATACGGTAAAATCGTGAAGAAAGGCATGCGTCATTTAATGACTCTCGAAGCTAAACACGGTGTGTCTGTGAAAGACATATACTGATAGTTGAGAGTAGAAAAATTTATAAATTTCCGGGCGGTTCGTTTTCCCGTAAACGCTTTTACGAGTCACGAAGCGCTGTGAGGTCGTGCGCGCCATAGCATCGCCATCCCAAATGGTCAAGGCCGCATACGAGCACACAAGCAGTCTTTGAGAAATTTTTCTCACTAAAATCTCGTATACAGGGGTAATTAATGGCCCTGATCACGATTCTGACAGTTCATTTATGGAGGCCAAGGTAATCTGGAGCCAGGGTGGCGCTAATGGTGACTGGCGAGCGCAGGAAGGGCATGCGTGCATAAACCACTAAAGAAACTTCAGTATAGCCTCATCTGTATGTCCGAAGTAAGGGCAGCTACAATTCAGACCTTTATTTATGTTTCCATACCTAGTTGAGGAACACCTCATAAACTATATGTACTCAGCTTTAACAGCTAAAACAGAGCCGAATGAGATGATTAAATTTGCCTATTCTGAGCAATTTTTTTATTCCTTTTTTGGCATTCCCAATAGCGTTTAGCAAAAATGAACCCCATCTGTGTGGTCCTTGCATGGACCCCTACATCATGCAACAAACCGTTTTGAAAAAGCTCACCACGACCTGAACGACCTCCCTTGTTAGGAAACTCTCCAGTCAAATGCATACGACTGAAAAACGCTGCCCATTTTCATCATCTCAAGGAGGCTTTCTGGGAAAAAAAATCGGTGTTGTTCGGCTTGAGAGGGGGTTTTACATTTTTGCTTGTTCATTTTGCTAGTTCGTTCTGACTAACAGGTCTTATTTCGGTGAAACCTGTAAACTTTTGTGAAGCTTTGGACCGGTGCAAGTGAGCCAATTTGGTTACATGAATTTGAAGGTGTTCTCAAGATGACCTGTACAGGCCTCGCTGAGTACTATTTGGTGCACTCACCAAGCCGAATCAAACCTCCTTTTGATCACTTTCAAGTCACGTCACACTATTTTGACTCTATTTTTTCTGGTCGGAACATTTGCAACCGATTTGTCAACGTCTCGTGCAATCTGTCGATTAGTTAATTCTGACGTTCGTACCAGACTCAGCTGCATTTTAATGAATTTTGCCAACATTTGCAAGCGCAGTGTCTATATTTGTCACTGCTCGCCATTTTTAGCTCCATAATCTACAGCAGGCTTCAGGATGTTGTCGTGTGCGCTCAAAATAGCCCAATTTGCTCGTGCAGCTGCGTTTTTAAATCTTTCACTAATTCCTCTTTCCGAAAACAACGGAATGAGCCTTCAGCCCTTTCTCAGCCTTGTTGCTCTTGTTATTGCATGGTACGGTGCTTTGTTATGAAACTACATGGAAGCCATCATTTTGCTTATAGAGAGTGTTCATGGACCTATTCCGCTTTCTTTATATGAATCTAGGAATTTTTTTGTGAAATTTTGGACTGCATGGAATTACTCATAGCACCGATCACGGAAGGCATGCAAGGGGCTCCGGGTGCAAAACTGGGATTATAGTCACCCGCATATAACTGCCGTTAATGAAATTGCTTTACTCTTTGGGGAGTTCGTTCCCCCTACAAGCTTAGGCAAGAGTCCTCATTTA